AATACCTTCTATTTCTTTCTCTTGCCTAATTGGTAGAACTTTTTGGTAGAGCTTCAAGTGCTATTAAATAGAAGCATTAAGAGTGATCATTCTTGTTTTATTCTTCAGCTTGCCAGGAAAACTTTTCCTCATTAAGCAAGATGTTAACCATGACTTTGTTATATACAGAATTGTGTGGAGAAACAGCCCTTCTCCTCCTAATTTGATTAGTTTTATTATGAAACACTACTGAATCTTGTCAAAATTGTGTGTGTGTGTGTGTGTGATTACATGAGCCACTAGCACCTGGCAGTCTCTTTGTATCTTTAAAAGGTTTTTTTTTCTGTCACTTTGGTTATACTTTATTTACCATAAGGCTTTTTAAATATATATATATATATATATTATTGTAAAGATACTGTACTGAGGGGTTACAGTAACACAAGAAAGGTAATGAGTACACTTCCTATTGAGCATTGTTATCCCCTCCTTTGTTTATTCCCTACTCTCCCTTCCTTCCCCAGCTCCACAACTCCTCTCTCCCCCAGTCCTCCCCCCACCTGAAGTTGTAAAGTTCGATTTCAACATAATGTCTTGTATATCTCATTGTTACAATGGGTCAACCTCTATCCCTATTTAGGCATTTTGTTTTTTCCCTTCCCCTCCCCAAATTAGAAAAATGTATATTCAACATGCAGGGCACCAGAATCAAATACAGTGAAAACAGGGTTTATACCATAGGATACCATAAGGCTTTTTTTCCTTCTATTTTTTCCCCAGCACTTGATTCTAACATTTTGTTCTAACCTGAACTAGTTACTCTCACTTTTGCTGCCCTCTGTTCATCCCAGAAATAACCTTTCATTATTTTCCTGGGCTCCCTCCAATTCTCTATGGAGGAGTTTTGTTTTGCTGAAGTATGCCTTCAAGTAATTTCCTAAGAATGATGCATGGGATATAAACTTTGGAGTCTTGATTGTATCTAATACTATGGTAGAATTAGGCGTTTATATATATACATATATATATATATATATATATATATATACACACATATGTGTGTGTGTGTGTGTGTGTGTGTGTATTTGCCAGTCTTGGGTCTTGAACTTTGGTTCTGGGTGCTGTCCCTCAGCTCTTCAGCTCAAAGGCAAGTGCCTTATCACTTGAACCACAGTGCCACTTCTAGTTTTCTGGTGATTTATTGGAGATAAAGAGTCTCATAGACTTTCCTGCCCGGTCTGGCTTTGAACTGCAATCCTCAGATCTCAGCCTCCTTAGTACCTAGGATTAAAGATGTGAACCACCGGCACCCAACCTATATATTTTTTTAAATAGGAAATTTGTTTGAAGGATATTGGGAGTCTTGAGATGACTAATGAACTTGGCTTAAGGTGAACATTCAGAAATTCTGCTGAAGGGAGAGTATGTATCAGTCTTTTCTGGAACCTTCCTCAGGAACAGACTGTCATCACTGCCGCCCATCTTGCTTGCTCTATTCAGAATTCCTGTTTCAGAAAGAGAGGCTTACTAGGGTCTTGATTGAATATTTTTCTATACTTTTTGTTGTCATTCTGTGAATCTTTCAGTCTCTATACTTGTGTCTTTTTTGGGGATCTGGGAAAATGTTGGATTTTTTTATCTATTGTCTAAATTTATTGCTTTTTGTCTGATACATACCTTTTTAATTTTCCTCTATTGATGGTTTCATTCCTATCATGCCCCTACCATATTTGGGATCAAAACTATTTTCCTCTGGGCACATTGAATTTTAAGTTTGCTTTCTGAGATCATTTTATCTTTTTTATCTATTTCTTGCATTTAGTCAATTTCCATATATAATCTTTTTTTCTGTGTCTATTGTGTGTTATTTTGAGCTTATAAAGGTGATGTACAGAGGGATTATAGTTACTTAAGTCAGGTAAAGAGTGCATTTCTTTTTGGACACTGCCAACCCTTCCCTCACTCTCCTCTAGTGCAAATTCTTATCTTAACATACTTAATTCGAGTTGGAGTATTGTATCATAGTTTTGTCTCCATTTTTATGAGGTTTTATTATGTATACACTTTTTTAAGTTGGAATATTTTTATCTGTTGTGTACTCTACACTCTACTTAGAACATTTATCAAACATGGTGGTACACACTTATAATTCCAGCACTCAGGGATGGTAGCAAAAGAGTCATAATGCAGAGAAGCCTGGGCTATTTTACAAGACCCTGTGTCAAAAAAGAAAGAGAAGAAAGAAATGTTTATTGTAAACCAAATACTGTGTTGTGCTAGGAACAGCCTTATGCAACTGATGTCTAGCACATATCTTGATTATATAGAAGGCAATGTGTCCAGGCACTGGCCCACATCTGTGTAATGCTAGCTACTCAAGAGGCTGAGCCCTAAGGATCACAGGTGGAAGCCAGCCTAAGCAGGAAAGTCCATGAGATTCTTATTTCCAATTGACTTCTTAAAAGCTAGAAGTAGAGCTGTGACTCAAGTGGTAGAGCACTAACCTTGAGCAAAAAAAAGCTTCAGCAACATTGCCCAGCCCCTGACCAGGACCAGTATACAAATACACACACACACACACACACACACACACACAAACACAACACAAACACACAAGCAATGTGACAAAGACCATTTAGGTTTATGTACATACTCTGGATATTTGCACAAGAATGAAATCACCTAAGCACACATTTTCATAATACATCTCCATTGTTAAGTGACTCATGAATATGCTTCAACCAATGACCAAGTAGAGATTTTATTGGATCCTGGTTCATACAACTATAAAAAATACTAAGAATGAGATAACTGGGAAGATAAAAGGAGTCATTAAGCAGATATAGGGATCATTCCTATTTGTAGGCATGAATATGCTAGTGTGGTTTTCATTTTTCCTTAAACTCGTTTTCTCTAAGAAATGCAAACTGAAATATGTGTTGATGTCCAAAGTATCCTCAAATTAAACCTAGACAAGGGTCGGTGGTGAGGTTTAGAAGAAGCTAGAGGGAAGCTGGGCCATGGGTACAAAGGAGCAATTTCAGAGTTCTCTTGACTGTTTCCAATGTTTGAAAAATCCCATAACAAAAAGCCTTTTACAAGTGGGATTCATGTTAACACAGAATAATTGAAAGACCCTTATCGTTTTATTCCTTAAACTCTTTTTTTTGGGGGTCCAGTCGTGGGGCCTGAACTCTGGGCCTGGGCGCTGTCCCTAAGCTCTTCAGCTCAAGGCTAGCGCTCTACCACTTGAGCCACAGCGCCACT